ATATATATATATATATATAATACATGAATATTACTAAATTATTATTCGCATATTTTCCATATATTTCATTTGATTTTCTAGGCCTTATATATATAAATGATATTTTTAGCAATTTTTTAAAAGCTGCCAAAACCCTTGATTTATTTCTAGCTTATTTGAGTTCATTCATTATTTTGATTCTGGCCATAAACGTGCTAAAATCATTGTGAAACTCTGAAAGCTCATGGAAAGCATGTCACAACATCACGTGAGTGTTTGGACAGCATGTGAGTCACTCACGGCTCGTGCTGGTTTTAAACTGTCTGTAGATCGATGGCAGTGCATGTTTCTGCTGTGATCTCAGCACTACACATTACATAACCTGTCTTTATAGCGCTGCTGGTTAATCACATCTGTTTTTAGCAAAGGCTTCCCTTTTCCTCTTCATTCTGAGGAGTGCTAATTCAAAACCCTGTTGTTTAATCTCAGCTGTTTCCATCCAGCAATTTGCTGAGTGCTGTGACGCTTTCACCCAATATTTATTTATTTTCCACAGATTGAGGCAGCACTGAGTCGGATTCCAGGAGCCGGGGCCCGGGTCACATTGCAGTCCAGGCTAGACGAGGTGGGAACACAATCACTTTCCATTCACATGCACATAGACTAGGGCTGGGCAAATAAAAATCGACTTTTCGATGAATTGTTTTTTAAAATGTGGTCGATTCGATAATGATTCTCAAAAGCTGCAAATCAATATTTTTCCATATATATTTCCGCTAGCATTTAACACAAGATCTGATTAACGTGAAGGTGAAATGCTGTAGTAATATTACAAATCTGCGGAAGCGTTTGACATCATGCCTAGTGCACTATGATTTCCACAATGAATGAATGGCACGGATGTGCTCTTTTGTTTACTACACACATACTGAAGCGCACGTGACGCTCGTGGTGTTTTCAGCCTCTACTGTCTCCCTGTATGACAATATGGACACATGAACATCATTCAGCTGCTCTGAGACATTTTGCCATTTAATTTGAGAAAAACTCGTATCACATACACAGCAGCTGCAAGTTCTTCACGGCAATGCTTCAAAATAAAAGTTTGGTTTAACTTGAAGAAACTGTGACAGAAATATATTACTATTGTGCAGTAGAATGTAAGATTCAATGTAATAACAATACTACTACTACTACTACAAATGATAAATATGAATAAAACTTTATTTTTAAAGGAATAATCTCACTTTTTTTTCTTTTTAATTTTAACAGTGAACCTCTGTTGTGCAGCACTTTGTTTGCCAAAAAATGAAGATTTAGTTCTCATTTGATTAAAGGATAAATTAAATTGTTTTATGCCTTCATTTGATTACCAGAAAAAATTAAGAAAAACATTTTATAGAGCCCTATTATTGTTAATAGGGCCCTATAAAATATATAGGGCTCCAAAAAAAAAAAGAAAAAAGAAAAAGTATAAAATAAAGGTCTGTGGCTCTTAATTTCTTTTTATTAATTCACCATTTGTAAACTGATGTTTACTGTTCAGTTTTTAGAAATATAAATAGCATTTGTATTAAATCTATATTCATTAAATGTAATAAAAAAAATCGAGAATTGAATCGAGAATCAAATCGAGAGCTTGCGAATCAGAATTGAATCGGGACATCTAATATGTCGAACCCAGCCCTAATATGGACCGAAAATATTACATCACAATATGAGCGCTTGTATTTCACAGTATACATTATAATATAGTTATTCACATGTCAAATATTTTAACACTTAAACCGCCAGGGGTCGTTGTATACCTAAAACCGCCAGCGAGTAAAATTTACAATAATGTATATTAAATAAATATAATATAAATATTGTAATTGTTTTTAATAATTGTATTTCATAATATATATTGTGATAGTTATTCACATTTTAAATATTATAATGTATTAAATTAATTAATATATTTGAATAAGAACACCGAATAATACACACACACACACATATAAATTGTATATATAGTATATATATATTAAAAATATAAAATATTTAATTATTTATTAAATGCACTGTGAAAAATATATTAAGCATTATATATTAAATAAATATTTAAAATATTTAATATTTCAGTATACTGCCTGTATTACAGTGACGTATTATGTCACTGTATTATGCCACTGTCTTCACAAAGTAATGTCTAGTGTCATGAAATGATTTTTAGTCATCAACTATGTTTTTGTCCTCTTGTTTTATGTTCAAGGCTATTTTAAGCAGGCTACATTTATCACTTTTCTTAACTTTGAATATAGGCAAAAACCAGCCTGCATTGACAACGAGAATTAGAAGGAAATAAATACATATTTGGGTGGTGTAATATTATAATAAAATGTCATTAATCCCATATTAAGATGACACATGTTATTTAAATTACTAAAATACCGTATCGCCTAGAAAAGGTGAACCGCGACCTCGGGTTCATCCGCATGACTCTGAAACGATTCAACATCCTGCGATCTTCTGCCAACATATAGCCCACGGCTGCTGTGAACTGCCATGAATTATGATCTTTACCCTGGACCATATGAATTATTATCACGGTGGAACGATCGTTCCACTGTACAGACTCCGATATGTACATGTTCAGTAAATATTTCTACTTTTATTACTGTAGGATCTATTTTGTATGTTTTATTACATGGTGAACATACTATAAAGTATATTTTAATAATGCCTAGATTTGTAAAAACATTTACTTTTTTAACGCCACAGAAATATGGAAAATTGTATGCTCGACTCGATATTTTTTATTTGATTCGTTTGCTGCTGATTTAAATGAATGGCAACAATCCAGTCCTGCAGGGCAGCTCATTGGCATATGTTTCCATTCCACTATGTGTCTTACGACTCTTTATTTAAATGACACTTGCTCAAAAAGCAGGCTTTCACTGTTTGTGGCATGTTCATTAATTTACGCGATAACATTGCCTGTGCCATATGCGAGCAGAGAATGATAGCACATATCTGATAATAAGATGAGTAGAGTTGAATTGCCTTGTCGAAATCATCTCATGCAAAGAACACAAACCCAAACCAGCACCGACTGTTTACACATGATTATCAAAGCTAGACCTCTGACATTTTCCAGTGCAACACAGGATGTACTGCTTACTTTGATGCATGAAATTTGAAATATGCTCTTCTCTGCTTTTCCATTTGTTCAGTTTTTTTCCTGTAGCTCATGGAATCTATTTAACTGTTGCACAAAATGTTCCACAATTAAAACTGCATACGGAATAATGTGTTTGAGTCATTATGATTTGATGACATCTGGAATATGTTCGACTCTTGGCTGTTTACTCAAATCATTCATTAAATGAGCTTGAAACATGTTTTGCGTTCATCAGAACTGTTTTAGTGTTAAAGGCATAATTTGACCATAAAAGGAAAATTCATTTCTGGATGTATGTAAACAAAGAAGTGTGTGTATTGAGAACCTGCCAGATTCGTATATGCAAAAGCATAAACGATTTTGAGCTTGGATAGAAGGCATGATTTTCAGTAAATATCAACTTGAAGGTATAAAATAAATAATGACTTTATAGGTGAACTACTTTTAAATTTAGTTTCTTTCAAAACATGGTCATATGGTTTAAGAAGACTTTTATATAGTAATTTTTTGGAGCTTACAGGCCTGTTCACACCAGGAACGATGCCAATAATGATAACTATTTTAGTCTCCACACCAAGTTATTGCTAACATTCGGTTTATAATTAGTTGGCGCTGCAGTTTTGTCTTCTGCCACTTTAAATGTTTGATCTTTTAAAAGCAGGATGGATTCTGATTGGCTGTCAATGTTTTTATTGTTGTTCAGCTATCCACCTTTTTCTTCAGCGCGGAAGTAAGCCTATGGGTGAGACTTCCGGTTCATTAGCCGCTATAGGTAAATAACGAGAAGAATAACAACGTGCAGTAAACGGTAAAACTGTTTGCACTACAAACCAGTGTGTTCATAATTAAGATAATACATTAAAATAATATGGTAAGACACACCAATTTTCAATATTAAGCAGCAAAAGGAGCGGTTCTGTACAGCTAAAAATAACCGAACGCGGATGAGACTGGAAGCTAGACCCATAGAATTTACAAATGGCCGCGCCCATTTTTACGGCAAGAAAAAGGTGGATACAACTTTTTTTTAAAAAGTGATTCCAGCTATATCGTTCCTCTGTGCCATTATCGTTATGACGTGGACTCTGCTGTTCCCTTAAATTTAGAATGATTTTTAAAACTATATTTATCGTTATAACGATTTTATTTATTGGTAGTTTTCCGAAAATGAAAATTCTGTCTTCATTTACTCTCCCTCAAGTTGTTCCAAACCGGTATGAGCTTCTTTGAAGAATGTACGTTACCAAACAGTTGATGGTACCCATTGACTTCCATAGTAATTTTTCCACATGGCTACCGTCAACTGTTTGGTTACGAACATTTCCCAAAATATCTTCTTTTGTGTTAATCAGAAGAAAGAAACTCATACGGGTTTGGAACAACTTTGAGGGTGATTAAATAATGACGGATTTTCATTTTTAGGTGAACTATCCCTTTAACAGATGTAATAACCTTTCACTTTCATTGCATGGAAAAGAGCGGCTTTTACGTTTTGCAACAAAATCCTGCCATTTTTCCATAGAAGCAAGAAAAACAGCTTTGCAATGCATGAGGGTGGGTAAATGAGTAATTTATTAAGTTTTAGTTCTTTATGTTTTGTCCTTTTTAGAGCTTGACAGCTAGTCCCCATCCACTTCCATTGTATAGACGAGCAGCTTGAACAATATGCAAACTATCTCCTTTTGTGTTTCACATAAGAGAGATAGCCATATGGATTTGGAACAACACGGTGGTGAGTAAATAATTACAAAATGTTAATTTTTGGCTTAACTGTCGCTTTAAGAATTTGGCGATTTTAGTCATCGAATTACGCCGCCAGAGGGCGCTACAGCGATGTAAATATAACCCCTAGAGGAAGGGGAGAGGCGAATTTACCATCCAATGATATCGGACCAGAAATGATGCTGCTCGCACTTTCGGTAAAGATAGAAAGAAGGAAAGGACGTGCACTCACTGAAAAGCTAGGTCAAGGTTTTGAGAAAGAGCATATGCTTTTTAAATAGACCCGCAGAACCCACGGGACTGCGCGCAAATGCAAGGATCAGCATACCTGTACAGTTTTTCTGCATGCTGTTTTTTTAAAGGATCAACTATATAAGCTGCAGCGGATATAATGATGCAGGAAGCCCCACTGCCGCTGCTGTACATGCTGAAAACAACAATGCAAAGGCAGTGACAGTCAATCTCGAGCTCTACTGTGGTTTAACCAGTCCTGTCACTTCCTCTTTGACGTGTGCATGTTGTGGACTGTCAGCCGTACGCGCTATTTTAAAAGCACAGGACTTTATTTTTTGATTGCGTGGAGGAAACCGTCGGCCTGCTTTGCTGTTTTATTTAGTCGGCTGAACCGGTAGCCAGCGGCTCGCTTACAGACAGCGAGGAAATAGAGTTGCAGTGACCGGCAGACAGCTCGACCTGCGGCGGGGATGTGTGTGAGCTAAAGCCGCCGGATATCGATGGCCGCGTCGCTCTGATCAGAGCCGCTTTGAGCTAAAACTCCGCGCCGAAGGTAAGAAACGACAAAGCCCGCGAAATATCTGCACGCGTTTGAAATGTTCTTTTCAACGGTCTTATTTTTAATTCCAACGGTCGCTTGTGAGTTAGCTAGTCACGGCCTTCTGTCATTCGTGACCAAAATAAATAATTAAACGCCTTAAACCCTGATTTTTTTTGTTTGTTTGTTTTTGTTTTTAAACGGTTTGCCCCATTTAAACGAACCATTTGGGAGTTGTAATGAGATTAATGTATGTGGGTATTAAAGGTGTTATTTAGTTAATTGTGGAGGAGATTATTCTATTATTTAGATGCTGCAATTTTAGTCTTATCATAAGACTTTTACGGTTGTCTAGATTAGATGGGATTCATAAATTGGCCAATCTTCGCGGTAGCATGAATAGTTAATGAGGGTTATCACTGGGCAGTCAAATCACTTATCAGTTTGATTTTGTACCTGTAATAATGTATGCTGTATTAATTATTCAGTTTCATGAATTAGCATTTAATTTATACATGTATATTCATGACAAGATATCTTTAAAGAGCCTTACTTATTATTTATATTTATGTGTGATTTATAGATTTATAATTTCTGCATGTGATTTCCTCAGGAAAGCTGGTCATGAGATGTATAGTTTGATTTTTTTGGTTTTGAATTTGTGACCTATCAAAGTTAATTAGCTGTCAGAGATAACCTACCTGGTTGAAGAAGATTAGTTAGCTCTACAAGTGACATTATCCACTGCAAGTAAACTGATGAATACCTAATTTAAGTGGTTCTAACATAACTTTATTGATGTCAAGATTTTAATTTTGTGATAAACACTGTTCCCACAGTCTGGAAAAAACTTGAAGTATGTATTTTTAAAATGATAGAAAAACAGCTTTGTAGTTTATACAATAAAACAATAAGTTAAAAACAGTAATATGTTATAAAAAATCAACTACGTTTGAAACAAACAACAACAACGAAAAGTGTAAATGGAGATTTACAGGCCTGGAAAGGTTATTTATTTATTTATTTTGAATATACATTTTTAAAATGATGCTAAACTCATTAAACATTAAACATTAATGAACATTAAACATAAAGACATTAAACTTTTTTTAAATATTTGATAATTTTACAGTTTTTTGCATATGTGGTTGACTTAAATGACACAGACATGACTCTCTGTCATGTGTTTTTGTGTGCATGTCCATATAATAATTGACCATTTTTGTCAGTTGACCCTGTTTGGCTGATTTGGATATCTAAAGTTAATCAACTGTCAGAGATAACCTACCTGGTTAAGGATTAGAAAGCCCTTAAAGTTACGTTACCCAAAGACGAAGAGAGTTTGTGCTGTAAAACATAGTTTTGTATATGCAGTTTGGCTTATTCTGTGTAGTTGAAATCCATCCATCCAATATTTCCCCCCAATATTTAGATTAGTGTTGACCGTTTCATTGGTTGATAATAACATTTTTACGTTTGGTCCGAAATATGAAGATACATCCTCAATATCTAGCATTATTTTCATCTGTCTTTGATTAATAAGCATATGGAACAAAGTCCTGCATCATCCAGTAATAATTTCAGTCTTGTCAAGATAATTGGGCCGTTCTTCACGTCTTAATCGCAGGGTCACAATTATCTTGTCACGCAATTGTTAATTTTAGCTGCTATTCCACTTCGGAGCCTCTTTTTGCCGTGTGTGCGCAGGACCCTCCCTTTTGCTAGCAACCTACATATTTAGTTAGCGAGACCTCATAGTTTGCCATGTTCTTTTCAAGCAAATCGAGGGAGAGGAAAAAATGCTTCCCTGTATCTAATTATCCTGCCAAAATGATTAGGTTTGTTTTTAATGAATCCTGTTATGCAGCAGCCATCGTAGATGGAATGAGTCACAGTATTGATTGGCTTCCACTGCCCCCTCCCGCTCCCGGCCCGGCCGGAGAACGTCTGCTAATGGCTGCAGCTCCAGCAGGGACGTACGGGTGGATGGAGGCAAGGCAGGCCGCTGCCAGGCTCGTGACAGTATGCCAATATGACCCAGACACCATCAGCAGCAGGCCGGTGCCACAACGGAGAGAAGGAAGCGAAACAGCGGGGCGACACTACACAGTTGCACCTTGTTATTTATAGCTGAATAGTAAACACTGAGATGCATTCCTTCCAAACAAGGCAAGCAGGCGTGCTAGGGGCCACCAATCTGCTACAGAACATACGTATGTTCATTTGGGCCAGGAAGTTTTGTCATCCATTGTGTTATTACTGTGAAAGAACCAGTGCTGAGCTTTTTTTTTTACAGTGGCTTTTTCTTGGGTAAAATTTTAAGAATTTCATTGCACAGTAACTAGGGATGTAACGATTCATTCGATTCGATTCACGATTATAATTTTTTTTTAACAAAATTAGATTTAAGACAAATTATAAATTAAATGTGTCCTTTTATTATTGCTTGGACAAAATGCTGCACATTTCTTTGTGAAATTGAAATATAACACTATAATAATATATCTAAAGACAGTAAGTTCCCCTCAGACATACATTCATATAAACTCCTACCCCTAAATTAATCGCGATTTGGTTAGCATCTCAACCGATTTGAATTGTCACATATTTGAATCGATTTTCAACCGGCTCCATATTCTAATATATATATATAGCTAACAATAGCTATATATATTAGAATATGGATATCTTTGCTGGAAATTCAACCCAAAAATGGTTTTATATATTAAATAAGACTGTTAAATTGACTGTTTTTGATAATCAACTCAGTATACTTTAATACTTGAAAAGATGATTAAATGAATAAGTCTGGTACCAAATCATAGCAAAACCAGCCTTGCATTTTATATCATACTTCAAAAAGTTACAAAAGTTGTCACTGGGGCCGGTACCCTTTCTAATATGTACATTTATGGCGCTTTTCCACTGCGTGGTACGGCACGGCACGGTTCGACTCGGCTCGGTTTCAGGTACTGTACCCAGTGGAAAACCCCCCAAAAGTTAACTGTACCGAGCCGTACCATGCAGTGGAAAAGCGCCATTAGAGACCAGTATGTACCTTTAAAGTACCAATATGCACCATTTAGGGATAAATATGGTGCAAAGATGTTACTTTTTGCAAAGGTGTACTGCCTTAGTGACAGCTTTTGTACCTTTTTTTTTTTTTTTAGAGTGTAAGTTAAAAAGAAAAGACTTTGGAAAGCAGCTGATATATGAACAAAATGTAATAGAGAGCTGCAGCCTTGACATCAAAACCCAGAAGACTAATTCGCCATGGGTTCCCTCCAGATTTTCCTATGGGTTTTTTAATTGGGGTTTTCTAGTAAAATAAGGTCTGTGGTAAACATGACTTGATGATACTTGGATGTTTTATTGTACATAGGGTTGTAACGGTATGAGATTTTCACGGTATGATAATCGTCTCAGAAAATATCACGGTTTCACGGTTGTCATGGTATATATTAAACAATCATTCTTAACGGTAACAATGACTCTTGAAAGAACAAGAACAAGTTATTTGAGTGAACAAATCCTTTATTACAACAAACTTGAAACCATTTTAATGAAAGTATTGAAGTCTCCCTTCTGAAAAAATTAATAAATTAATTTAAAAAACAATAAAAAAATAAAGCTGTACACCTTATGTATATCTATATCACACTTTAACATTTTAATTAATGTTTTAAAATGTTATCAAATGAAAATATACAACTCATTTTATTTTTGGCAAAGTTAAAACATGGACAAACATGATATTCCTTGAAAACAATGTTTAAATAAATAATTTTATTATAAAGAATATTATTATTTTTGTTATTATAACTTTGAAGTACATTGTACAATGCTAATATTTTTCTGTCATAATTTCAAATTAAATCGAACGTTTATTTTGATGGGTTATAGCGGACCTTTGGGTTTCAGAGTGTATTTGACAATGGTTTTCTCAAATTAAACTAGGAAATATTTATCTTGTTATTAATGCGACACACCTTCATCTGCACGGAGGGATGGTGTACGCGAATATGAGCGAAGATGTTGGATGTATTGCATGCTTTTGCAGCCACTTTGCGTCCACATTTTTTGCAAATTGGATTCGTCCTCAAGGACAACCCCGCGTTCGTTTTTTTTAATATCAGAAGTATTCCCATTCTGCAGATTTTAACTTTTTTTTTTGGCGGGGATGGAGATTAGATATTATCTCTGTCTCTGTCATTTTCTCCGCTGCACGTGCGTGTAAGCAGCCAAGTGAATGCAGAGTGAAGCGGCCGAGCGGAAATAAGTTGCATATGTGCGGGGTGAGATTTTTTTTCATTCATTTAAAAAAACAAAAAGCCGTATATATGCAAATGTTTACGGTATGATAACCGTGCACGTTCAAACCGTGATAAACCGACATATCGTTACAACTGTAATTGTACAATGTAAACTGCTCACACAACAAACGTTCTTATGTAGTTACTTATTACAAACATACGTTTTTTTAAAATTCGCATTTTCAGTATGAGTGTGTGCAATTTGCGTTGTAGAGCAAAATGCCCAAGTATTGTCAATTTATATTTACCACAGACCTTATTTTACTCATAAATTGAAAACCCCCATTATAAAAACCCATAGGAAAATCTCAAGGGAACCCATGGTGAATTAGTCTTACAGGTTTTGACATGAAGCCTCTCTAATGTACATAAATAGATTTTTGTGTTATTTATTTTAATTTTTTTTTCAATTTATGCAATTTTTTTGCAACATTGCTTATCCATAAACCTGCTCTTAAACCGTGTCTGCACAACATAAATTGCTCATATTTCAGTTAGCTTTAAATGCACATCTGCGAGATTATTTTCAGTGTAAACAGTTTTTCTAGAGTTTTCTTTTGCGCCATAGTGGAAACTGTATCAGAATCGCTTCAAGGTTAACTTGTTTATGCCATTGCATGGACAGTACCATCATTTCTTTAGAATGAATGAATGCAAAAGCAAAATCTTGCGTTCGTGTTCGCACGCGTGATATGACTGGCA